CACGACTGCTCTCCTCTCCTCGCGCGAACCGAACCCCCCACACCCTCGCCCCCCACGTTCTCCGAGCGCAGTTGCTCGCTCGCGTGGCGGGCGGCGACGTACGGACGGAGGCTTGTGGCGAGGGCAAGCCAGCTAGCGAGGCTTCGGCCCGCGTCCGATTGATTCCCGGGTCGATCGCAACCGATCGACCGATCGATCAGGCTCCTATTCGCAGCCCGCGCGTCGCCGAACGAGGCCGGCCGGCCATGGCAGCGGCGGCGGCGGCGTCCTCCGTCGGCCCCGACCCGTTGTCCTCGTCCGTGGCGCACCGGCGCCGCCTCGCCGACGTCGAGCGGCCGGACGACGGCGACGGCTGCGGCCGGCACCGGGGAGTCCGGGCGTTGTTCTCCGTCAGGAGGAGCTACGGCAAGAGGGCGTCGTCCGTGGTCGACCAGTCGTGGGTGCGCAACGCGGTGGCGTCGCTGCTGGGCCTCCTCGTCCTCGTCGGGCTCCTCGGCTCGCATCGGGCCGTCGGCGGCGGCGGTGACGACGGCGGGAGGCTGCTGCGGAGGGTGGACGGCGAGGCGCTGGGCTGGCGGGAGGAGAACCTGACGGCCCTCGCTCGCCGGTCGCCCGACACGCCGGTAAGTGCTGCGTCTCGCCGCTGCCCGCTCGGCTTATTGCCGCCGCCAAGTTCGTTGCAAAAGGCCAAGCTAAAAACCAGAGCACACATGTGCACACACCGCATGCACTATAGCACTTTTGGTTTCGTTAAAAAGGGGAAGCTGGGACGAATTCCGTTTGGGAACGCGCTGTGCATGCATGGGGCCGAAAACGGGTAGGAAATCGTCGCCGAACGGCGGAGCCAGAGACGTGCCGGGTCTTCGTCTCCGTCTCCATCTCCGTGCGTGTGTGCGCACGCAAGAGAAGAGAAGAGAAGAGAATTGAATTTGAGAAGTTTCTTGGCGGGCGTTCAGCTCAGCTCAGGTCGTAGCAGTAGCCTAGTTGTATTCTTGCCGTAGAATCATACGAAGCAAGTAGACCGAGTAGTACAAAATACGCTTCGCAGCTTCGAGGGGAGGCGTCCCCGTCCGTGTCTCTATCGACGGATGAATACCGAGTGCCCCTTCTTTTCGTTTCGTCTGTGGTGCAGCCGTATACCGGTATTCTCATCCACATCGCTGTTTCTTCCTTTTTCCTGTGTATTTATGATTGATTTGGTGGTCACCTGTTGGAAAATTCAACTCAATCGGGGTAGTGGTTCCCGGTGGTTTAAGGCCATGGGTGATGTCGATGCTTAGGTCTAGGTTCACAGACCCGGGGATTCGTCTGGACCAGAACAAAATACTCCCTCCATTACAAAATTCTTGTCTTAGATTTGTCTAAATACAAATATATGTAGTTACATTTAAGTGTTAGATACATCCGTATCTAGACAAATACGAATATATGTAGTTATATTTAAGTGTTAGATACATCCGTATCTAGACAAATCTTTTGAGACGGAGGGACTACAACACTAGCTTCGTTGGCATAAGTTTTGAACACAGTACGATCGCAAATGCTCGCTTACACACACATACAAGCCCCCCTATCAACGCACGGCATAGGATAGGTTACAGTAAGGAAAACAATGTTAAAACTGCCATGGAGATTGAAGATGGAAATGACCAGCAGAGACGCCGAATTCTGCGGATGAACAAAACACTGGAGGTTCCTAGTCTTGCTTAGTCTACAAAATTCCTACATGGGCTTTCTAGGAAAAAGAGAGCTGGAGTGCTGCATTCTCTCCAGCCTACAAAGAGAAAATTAAAAGAAAAAGGAGAAAAAAAAAGTGGGAGTCTCACATCAATCAATCCTATCCCCACGAAGTGCTACAATAGTGCTTCTGTGACTGGAAACACTCGCACAAAAGAGTTCCCCGCTGATTGGACAGTATGAAACGTGGCTCACTGCCTGTGTAACGCGCTGATTAAAGCGTCCTTATACCTGAAAATGATGTAGCAGAATGGGTGTCAGTCAGATGCCGATGTTCATTCTCTAGAAAAAAGATACCGATGTGCCGAGCTGCGATCTGGACCGTCCAGTTTTGTTTAGCTAGCTTTTCTTCATGCATGAAAAGTAAACACTTGTTCAGATGATATGATCAGCTAGCTATGTGGTACTGAAGTTCACTGACAACACAAACAGATTCCCAAGATATGGACGATGCCGGCTAGCGAGGGTTACGGCAAATGCATCGAACGCCCGAGAAACCACCACAGTAAGTCCCCACTTCCACATCCAACAGTTTGAACTAACGACCTTCAACCTTTCAAGTTAATACTACCCTGAAATGAGCGTGTAAACTTGACCAAAATTACTATGCTTCTTTCCAGGAACAAACAATGCAACAGCTGGCTATATTATGGTTGATGCCAATGGTGGTTTGAACCAGATGAGAATGGGAGTGAGTGCACATTCATGTTTTTCTTCCAGAAATACTAAATTTAGAGTCTGAAGATGCCTTTCAGTAGTTCACTTACATTTGTTTGAAACCATCCTCCCAGATAAGCGATATGGTTGCAGTTGCCAAGCTCATGAATGCGACACTAGTAATCCCTACACTGGATCACAGATCATTTTGGACCGATCCAAGGTGCTTCTCTTCATAACAATAACGAGGATCCTATCAAACTATTCCGATGACTGATGTTTTTTGGTTTTGGCATGCAGTGATTTCGAAGATATATTTGATGTGGAGCATTTCAAGAAAACTCTAGAGAATGATATTGTGATAGTGGACTCCTTGCCGCCAGCTTACAGAAGGTCGAAACTCTATGCGAGGGCACCATCTTCCTGGTCCAGGGTATGAACAAACTACTCCAGGAACTACTCAAGTTGACATTGTAGTTGCTTAGAAATAGCGACAGTTCTATGGCTGAACGATGATGGATTTCTAGTTCCTTTTTGCAGGCTTCTTACTACAGAGCTTTCACGAGGACACTAAAGAAGGTCAAAGTTGTTAAATTCACACATACAGATTCACGAATTGTGAACAACGGTCTTGCTCCTCATATCCAACAACTCCGCTGCCGAACGAATTACGAGGCACTAAAATACAAGAAAGAGATTGAAGATCTAGGTAATACTCTAGTTGATAGACTGAGGAATGGGTCCAGCCATTATATCGCACTTCATTTAAGGTGATCGCAACTGCACTTGTTTAATAAATCTACTATCATTTCGCTGCAGAGGAATATGTAGCTCAGTAATATATTTGTTTTCCTTATCAACTGACAGATATGAGAAGGACATGCTCTCATTTACTGGCTGCAGCCATAATCTAACACGTCAGGAGGCAGAGGAGCTGAGAGAAATGAGACTCAAGGTGCGGCACTGGAAAGAAAAGGATATTAACAGCAAGGAGAGGCGACTTCAAGGAGGCTGTCCTATGACTCCTCGTGAAGCAGCTCTTTTTCTTAAAGCCATGGGCTATCCTTCCGCGACGAATATCTACATTGTAGCAGGTGAAATATATGGTGGACATAGTATGGACGAATTAAAGGCCGCATATCCAAATGTGTACACACATTATAGTCTAGCAACAGTAGAAGAATTAGAGCCCCTCAAGCTGTACCAAAACAGATTAGCTGCAGTGGACTATAATGTCGCCCTCCAGAGTGATGTTTTTGTGTATACATATGATGGAAATATGGCCAAAGCAGTACAGGGTCATAGAAGATTCGAAGGATTCCGGACAACCATTAACCCTGACAGGTACATTCATGGAATCCTGTTTTAAGTTATTAGTACATCTTTAAGTGCTAATTCTTTAACTGTTTACAGGCAGAAGCTTGTGGAGCTCATTGACAAGCTTGACGAGGGTACAATAGCTTGGAACGACTTTCAAAGCAAAGTGAAAACACATCATGAAAACAGACTTGGAGGTCCATATCAGAGGTTGTCTGGTCAAAGTCCAAGGCAAGAGGAGTATTTTTATGCAAATCCTCTCCCAGGTTGTTTGTGCAAAAAAACACAAAGGATTTAGCGACATGGACTTGCTCTAAAGAGGTGGGGACTGGGGATATTTCAGCCCGCTTCGCTGCATGTGAGGTGTGACATGGAAATAGGTAGACATCTCTTAGGACGATTGAGATAAACCAAATAGTGCAACTCCTAGTAAACTGACAACAAACATACCACAGATCATTTTCATGACTAACAATGTATGTAATACTCGTTCTTGCATATGGAGGTGAGAAAGAGAGGTTCACTCATTGTCCTCCGAGAATTGCGGTTTCAACAAATTGCTTATTCAAGTGTAGCCATGGATGGGAAGACAGAGAGATTTCGAGTAGTTCAGAGGACATATGTACAACAGAGGGTAGGATTGGCAAGACAGAAAACTTCCGTTACATGTTTGTACTTCGTTTATACTATGAATGTACAATCTTTGCTCTTTTTTCTCAAATTTTGTATTCATCTAAAAAGTATGACTTTATTCAGAATGGATTTGTGTATATGCAGTAGTTATCAGCTACAGACCAAGTTGTAAGTGGCAAGTGATGAATAAAAAAAATAGCCATGTTCATTTGATGTAATATTTGCTTTAGCTGCTCTTGAAATGATTGCATTTTGTTGTAGCATTTTTTTTCTATCATCAGATATATTTCAGGTAGTTCTGTGCATTAAGATCTTATATTTCTGTACAGAGGGAGTATCACTTTGTATTTTGATACACAATAAACAATTTTCATCGTCAAGCAATACAAGTCTTTCAGTGGCGAACACATTTTCATACTGAAGTTATGGGAGAAACTGGATGATAAAATAATATCAGATAAAGTGGTAGACAAAGGTACCTGTCAACTCTTGTGGTAAAATATTATCCTTGCTCACTTCTGCTGCACCACTTATGAATCGTGCTCGTAACATAAATTTCTGCCTCCTTCACCAGAAATGATTTACAAGTTCACCAATCACCACATAGAAGGCACATATACTTGCTCCTTCAAGTTCTGGGTAGCACTTTCAGTGGGGAACCCTCGCACGGCACCAATAGTCCACTGCGAAATGATACCAGCAGCAACAGCAAATCTTAGCTCCCTCTCCAATGTATCCTGGTCCTCATACATCTCAGGGCAAGTTGTCAACTTCCTAATAGCAGCAGCAACAATAGCATCACCAGAACCCGTCCGGTCAGTTGTGGTTGGAGTTATGAGTGCGTCCTCCGTTCCAACCACACAGCCATGAAACTTGGGTGTGTAGTAGTGGATACGAAGTGTTCCATAGGTCACCAGCAAGAGTTTTATTCCATCATGCCAAATCGGAGCAATTTCTTCAGGGGTATAGTGGTAGTACTGTGGCCAGTTCCTTGTTAGATGGAACCCATCCAAATAATACTGAGGCGGGGTGGCTCGCTTATGTTCGTAATACTTGTGATCGAGGAGGAACTCCAGCTCATCCCTTGACACCTCTATGATATCAGCCTCCCTCCATGCCCTATTTATGAACTCTTTTGTCTCGTCCCTCGACCTCCACAAAGGCAATGGCAAATTGAGATCAAAGAATATTTTGCTCCCAAATTTCTTGGACAGCTCAATGGTTCTGAAGAGTGTGCCGTGCATTGACGGCGTCAGCAGTACTTCTGAATTGAAATGCAACATTTTGGCCTGTGCAATTATCACACATTAGATCTGAAACTCACTCTGTGCTTATAACAAATATGGTATATAATGCAGTTTCTAGATGTGACATAGTTATGTCACATATAAGCTGATGTTCACTTTGTTTGTGGTCTATTTTTTTTTGTCCTAGTTTTTTTTTTCTTGTTGCTGCATTATATAGTTGTGGAAGCTTAGATGTGACATCCTTAAAAAACATCTAGATGTGAATTAGACAAACTGTCAAACAAAATCTTTTACCACAAGATGACGCACTCACCTCTTTCAACACATCTGCATTGATCTCGTCCTTGTGCAGCGAGTCCTCGGCAGAGCTCTTCACCGTCTCGGCCACCAGACATGTCCCGCCCTCGCCGTCCTCTCTGTCCCGGAACGCCACCTTCATCCGGGCGATGGCTGTGGACGCGGCGCCGTCAAACCTGATGGCGCGCGTCTGCACCCGCTCGCGGTTCATGCGGTACACGAGCTCGTGGCCGAAGTCGTCGTCGCCGACCTTGCCGAGCACCGCGGCGCGGCCGCCGAGCCGCGTGAGCGCGATGGCGACGTTGCTGGAGGCGCTCCCGGGCGAGCGCGCGAACTCGGGCGGCTCCCACTGCAGGTGCAGCCAGGTGGAGTACTGGTCGGGGTGCATCTGCTGGTCCGACACCCGCACCGTAGGCACGAACTCCCACCGCGGCGCCCCGAAGCAGCATACCAGCGGCGGCCACTCGTACGGCAAATCCGCCCCGTCGCCGCCGTCGTCTCCCGCGTCCTCCTCGCGGGCCGCACTCCGAGGCTCCTCCGCCTGGGCATCCTCCTCCCCCTGCTGCTGCTTGGCCTCCTGCCTCGGGGACTTCTTGGTCCGACGGGCCTTCGGCTTCGCAGCCGGCTCCTCCTCGCCCTCCGAGTCCGACTCCTGCCCCGCCTTCTTGGTCTTGCGCCTCGTCGCCTTCGCCTTCGGCGGCGACGAGCCCGGCTCCGACGCCTTCTTCCGCCCGCGGCGTGGGGTGGGTTTAGGAGGTTCCGGCTCCGCCGCACCATTGGGCGAGCAGCGGAGGAGGCGGGTCCGGAGGAGGCTGGGGTGTAGGGGACCGAGAGGACGATGGGGCTTGGGGGCTAGAGGTTGCAGGAGGAGGAACGGGGAGGCGGCGGCCATGGCCATTGCCCCTCTCTTCTTCGCGGAATTCGCCGCTGGTGAGCGGTAGCAGGAAGGGGGAGAAGCGAGCGTTCGACTCTATCCAGTGCGACCCGGTAAGGGTTTAGCGACCGTTAACATCGTCGGGTTTGCTCCATAACGGGCGAAGTGGATCTGACCAGTTGTCACAAGTTGTAAGCTTAGAGTATCTACAGCCGGCCAGCCGCCATCTGCAAATCCGGACCTTCAAACGTCTGCGGGCATTTATCGGGCATTTCTCAAATCCTGTCGTTCACATGAGTATCTAATATCTGATACCTCATATCCATACTAAACACGCAATGTAGATAAAAACAACGTAGATCATCACACCAAGCTTCAAAATATCGGATATCGAGTTCATATCGGTTTAGCTTCGACATATCGGATCTCGGATATCGGGTGATATATCGGACGATTTGTGGATATAGCAGACAAAACATGTCTAGTTTATTTCATTATTCTTGTTCAAAACTTTTATTTTTAGTAAAAGAGAATGTATGATGTCATGCTTTAACATAACACTTTTACATTCCTAGTTTATTAACTTGTTGATTAAGAAACTATTAAGAAAAGATTCACAAAATCCTTAATCTATGATTAAAACCAATACGATATACGCATTTGGACGAAACATTGTGCATTACTTTGGTAATATATAATGAATTTGTAAATGCATAATCTTATTTCACTGCTTTCTAAGAAAGAATTATTGTCATCTACGTATCGTTCTATATCGATGGACATATCGGGCTAGATATCGGCCATATCGGTCGATATTGCGGTCCATATCGGATGATATGTTGAAAATTGACATTTACCAAATGATATGTTATGTTTATATGGGTAGGCCTCAAAAGTGATATATCGGTCTATATATCGGTCGTATCGTCCTAGATTTAAAAGCTTGCATCACACAAACATAGAATCGGACATATAAAGCACATTCCGATCACCAAAAGATCACCGATGGATGTCCAAAAGACCGTCAAAGTTCACATAAATGACGGACAAGTTTAAACTAGATTACTAAAAACTTGAAATTGAAGATGGAGACACCGGAGCTTCACCACTTCCTCGCTGGCCCTTTGCCCTTCCGGTCACCGGCGCAGTTGTAGGCGTCGACGGCTGGTGGCAAATCATCTGAGTAATCGGACGAGGAGCCGTGCTCATCGTCGTTGGAGGTGACGGAGAGGATGATGAGCCCTTTCAACCGTCGGGCCTCCATGTCCTGTTGCCGCTTGAGTTTCGCGAGCCGAGCCACCTCCATCGCTGCCTACGCCGCCTCGCGCTCGGACTGTTTAATGGCAATCCGGAGCGCCTTGGCGTCCATCTCCTCTGTCGTAAGCGACCGGCGGTAGACCCATTCGAGGAGCCGTGTGTCCTCGCGGGCTCCGCCTGCATCCCGCGGCGGCGCACGGATTGCTTTCACTACTGAATTAGCTAATTTGCCGTCCGCCAACTCTTTACCGTCCGCTAGCTGACGGCAAAGAAGGTCTTTGCCGTCAGCAACACAAAAACTGACGGCAAAGAACTGGCTCGTCCGCTGACTGATGACAAAGAGGTTGGTGGGTCCAGTTATTGTTTAACAAACTCAAGCCCACCGTCCCCACCTCTTTGCCGTCCGCTTGCAGACGGCAAAGAATCTTTGCCGACTGTTGGCGGACGGCAAAGAGGCGGGTACGTTAACAGCCGTCCCGCCCCCGCCCTCTGTCGCCATCCCCCACCCACACCGGCCCGCGCCGCCGCCGCCGCCCCCGTCCTGCGTAGCCGGCCGCCCCGCACCCCTTCCCGACCTCCACCACGGCCTCGCCGCCCCTTCCA